ATTGACAAAGGCGATGTTCTTGCTGAATACATCGGTGCTGCACCTCCAAAGGGAACTGGTGAGAATAGCAGCAGTTATAGTTGTAAAGAACTCTAGCAACAGTTTTGAAGGTCTTCACCGCTACATCTTTTTGGTGTATAAGCAACCTGGTAAAATTACTGATTCGGAACATGGTCATTTGACCAATCGCTCGGGTGATGGAAGAGGCGGATTTAAAACAGCCAAGTTTGCTGAGAAGCACAAGCTTGGTAATCCTATTGCGGGCAACTTTTTCCAGGTAAAACAACTCATTTTCTAGGATCTACAAAAATGACTTTGTTTACAGGCTGAGTGGGACGATTACGTGCCAACCCTCTACAAGCAGCTTAAAGGATAAGACTAGACCTTGTTAGAGACGATTTTCAGCCTTCTGTGTCACAAAATTCGGTTTCAACTTACGTGTTCTTTTATGTTTCTGCTTTTGTTATGAGTACTGATAAATTATTGGGTAATTTTCTCAGGCTGTACCGGATCTATAGCTAAATCTATATAGAAATAATGTCAGTGGAGGAAGTCAAGCGTTGATTTTCATGTAGTTGCGTGCTGAAGCCACTCTATAAAATTAGCTCGGGACTTTTAAACGTTCCTGTGACATCGCGGGGTTTTGGAGTTTTTGTCGGATGGAAGCAATAGAAGGTTATCTAACGGAAAGGCTTGCGTTTCGCGAAACTCGAGATTCATATTTGGTGGAATCGTCTCTAAGAGTGTGCAGACTGAGCCTTGCAGCTGTGAAGTCGATCGTCCGATGTAACTCTTTTCGCATTTAAAGGAATGTAAGTTGAAAAATCTGCTTCATCCGATGGCCATGTGCAGAGCAGCTCTACTATCCAAATTGTGCGAATTGCATGAGCTTGCACCTAGCATTCCCCATGTCTAATGGATTTGCTTCGGTTTCCTTTTGTTGCTGCTTGCTCTAGAAAAGAACGATGGTTACTGGTATAGCCGCCTGGTGGGACAACTCAACAAACCTCTCGAAACACTAGGACATAAACATCAATCATAAAAACCGGTAAATATTCACAAAGAATTATTCTAGTGAGAAAATGGAAATTAAAAAAAACCCGGATTGTTAAACGTAGCCTGGGTTACAAAAAGAGCAAGTGATCTGTCTTTACTCGTTAAGAATTAACATAAATCAAAATTTTCACAATTTTACCTTTATAAAGATTCCTTCGAATTTCTCCGCTATAGGCATGCTGATACTAAACCTCGAACGAAGTCTGTCGGGACTTTTACCGGAGAGCGGGATCTGTTTCACTAATCCTCACCTCCGCATTCTGCTATTCTTGTTCACCCCCTTGGGGGCGTGGGCCGATCCCTGCAGCAGTGCAACGCTGGGCCGACCC